TCTCTCTCTCTCTCTCTCTCTCTCTCTCTGAATCTGGAGCTTGATAATCCAGCTAGACTGGCAAATGGGCTCCATCCCCCCACCCTGTCCCTTAGTACTGAGATTACAGAAGGATGCTGGGTCTAGCTTTCTACATGGGTTCTAGAGATGAGAATGCAGTCATTGCTCGAGCCTGTGTGGCAAGCATTTTACTGAGCTGTTTTTTTTTCCAGTTCCCTAAATACTGCTTTCTGTCTACTTTGAAACAAACCAAGAAGCAACAGCAGTCTTACATAGCATCCTTGAAAAAAAAAAATCTACAACCAGAGAAATAGACAAGTTTGAATCACCTGAATCTTCTACAAGGGTCTCATTGTCTTTGAACCACGTAATGTGTGGAATAGGGTTTCCAGACGCAGGGCAAGTGACTTCAATGGTCTCGCCCATGATCGCCGTTTGATTCTCCAGATTCCCAGTGATCACCGGCGCCATGCGCTCTGTGTACAAGAAAAGAAAACTGTAGAGCCCATGGTTCCGACTCTTAGAACCACTTTCATGTCCTGTGACTACTGAACGGCTCTAAACCTGACAAGCAGTAGCCCATTAATAAAGCAAGCTGAAACTACACAGAACGTGACACAGCAATCCTGTTGAATGAGTCCAACAAAATGAGAAAGGACATTTCGGACAGACACTGGAGACTTTACGTAGTCACATTAGCCACCTCATTTGCAAATCACACAGTACTTAGGAATCTTTGGGGGTTGTTTTTTCAGGTTAAAGGATTTATTCCCTCCAATCCCACAAGGCTTACCCTACGAATAACTTCTTCTCTGGAAAGTTGTAGCCACTAAAAGTAAAATTCATGTTTTCCCTTAGGAAAGGCAAAACTTCAGCACAGTTATGTAAGGAGTAGCTTACATAACTTTGGATAACATTATATCGTTTCTAATATTTACTGTCAGTCACATATAATGAGAGCCAGGCCATTAGGCTTATTATTATGGGATGTGATTGCAGTCCAGGGGTTTAAGCACCTTACCCAAGTCCCTGTAACTAAGTAAATGGTTGAGATAATTCTAGAATCTGATGGGCCTAAAAGTCCAGTGTGGTTTCCTCTAAAACACAAACAAACCAAACAATAATATCCTAAGAAAAGCCAAGGCCATCTGTTTACATGTAGAGTGAAACATGAGTTTTTACCATCCTCCTGAAAATCACCTAACTGCAGTGAAAACACGGATGAGTTTCAAAAAGAATGATGCTGAAAGAATCCCTTTTAACACTCAGCAGAATACAATCAATTCCCCTGTTCACTATGTCAGAGTTTAAACAAAAGTACTTGGCTCTGGTCTATTTCCAAGAACAGATTTTTCGGAACCAATATGGGCATCCTTATAGAAGCATACCCACTGACTGTGATGGCAAACTTCCTGCTCATAGCGAAGCTCGGAGCCTCCTTCCTTCCTTTCTAAACTCTTCCTCATCTGGACCAGCTCCTAATGTTCACCTGATATAACTGGTCCTATATGTGGTGTGGTTTCTAGGGTCTTGGGAACGACTTGACTCAGAAACATCTTTCTTTCTGTCCTCAAGCTTTCAATAACAATCTAAGGTTGGTGTCTATTTTGAAGCACTCCTTTAGATAAGCCAAAGCACTCAAAAAATGATATTCATATAAAGTGTTGGTGTAGATAAGTTAGCCTGGGTAGTTTCCCTTCCTCACAATATAAAACAGAGAAGATGCATATCACAAGGACCTCAGAGAGTACAACTAAGAAAGGAGAAAATGGAAGGAAAAAGCACAAAGAGACACCCCCTAAACTCACCAGATCCCCTCAGAGGCTAGGCTTTGTGCAAAGTACGAGGTTAGACAAGACATGGCGAGCATCTCCACAGTAATATAAATGGTTTTTCTAGTCACAAACTTATCTCACTGAACTCTACCTACCAAAGACCACACAGGATACTATGGAAGTACAGGCAATGAGTGTGGCACCCCTTCCATAAAATCTAGATCTTAAACTCAGACCCTCGTCATACTGTTCATGAAGCAGGTATCCCACTGACCACCTTGTATGTGCCAGTGTGTTCTCTGACTAAAATGACAGCAGTAAAGCGAGCAGAGACTGATTTGTATCCTCGGGAATTGGAGACCCCACAATAGCATGATCACCCAGGATTTGCCTACAGTCCCATCCTCTCCTTCTAGACCATCACTTCGAGCTTCTGGCCCTCCCTTTGCTAATAGTATTACACAAATGTGCTAACTTTAATCATTGAATGCCCAAAGATGCCACAGTAAGTTCCCTGGTTCAAGCTACTCCCTCATAGATACTAGTAGTGATGTCATCATAAAGGCTAGAAAGAGCCAAGCTGTCTTCTAATTGTAACGAATCATCTCATCACTGTTAGCTTTGGTCTGCTTCCAGGATCGTGCCAGCCTACACCAGAAGCTCCCAGAGGCCTGTACTATGCACACAGCACTCAAACACTCTGCATTTAAGGCATTGCAACTCCGTCACCCAGGGATGTCTCCCTACCTAGGATGATGAGCTGCTTGACCAGGCAATGTCTTTTCTTGGTCTTCTTGTCTTGAGCAGAGCAGACATAGTCACCTTGGTCCTGCAGGGAGGCATTCTGAAATGCCACAATCAAGATGTCATTTGTGCTGTTAGAAAACATGGTGCCATTCAGTTTCCAAAGAGCATCCAGGTTCTTGCAAACTGGCGTGAGTGATTCGCCCGTGTGGACCGATGTGGTCTGCGAGCCAAGCTTGTACCATGTGAGGTTCTCAAATGTATTTCTGTCTGCAGCGCACAACAGAGACACATCCTCCTGCTCAGTTGGCTGGGAAGCAGGTTGCACAGTAATTTCAGGACCCCCTGAAATGTAAAGCTATGGTTAGAGGATAATGACTTAAGTTGGTGCATGACACCATCGTCTTCTTGCTGCTATGATGACCTAAGAGACAGCTCTTGCGGTCCCCAGCCATTACCACAAAGGCAGCGCCAGACTAGGCAATTCATTTCTCAAAATGTATTATTTGGAAATGTGAAATTAATTTTCCCCAAGTACTTACTGCATTTAACTTTGAGTTCTGGATATGGTTTCCAAATTGAAAAAAAAAAAACCCAACAAAACAAAAAACAAAAAGACCAAAGCAGGGCATTTAATCATCACATGGAATCTTTAACAATGTCTTCTTATTAATACATGACACGAAAACTACATTTATTACAAGTAATTAGCTCAGACAAAAACATCTGAGCCAGTACAATCAGCTCAAGATTACCCATAAAACTAAGTTGCAGAGACAACTCTGCAGTGTTGGAAGGCAGAGGGCCATAACTTCCCCATACTCCCAGAAACCTCAATTCTGGTTCTATTCTGTCACAAACCCACAGATAACTTCACGAACCCAAGTAAGTCATGAAACACACTAACTCTGGTGAGCGAGACAAGCCACACATAACATGGAGCTTCAGGCTTAAAGCACAAGTGGAAACCTTCTCTGGCCTGTGAGGCACACAAAGTCTCACACAAACCCAGGGGCTACGTGAGCGGCTTTAACTTGTTACCTTCAACTCCTATCGCCACAACACACTACTTGCTCAAATCCCAAAGACAACAGAGGACCTCACAGCTTATTAGCACCCACTTCCTGAGGGTCCCCCTCCCCACCCTCCAAAGAGGTCTACTCACTGATCACGTGGAAAGAGATGACCCTCTCGCCTCGTCCGGCTTTGTTGATGGCTTCACATTTGTACAATGCTGACACGTTGGCAGCTTGGATGACCAGAGTACTTACAGTCTGTGAACACAGAAGACCCAAGCCATGAGCAATGCAGGCTGAACATGTGTGAGTCATGTGCATAGAACTGGAATTACTTTTCAACAGTTGTATACACTGAAATTATGTGCTTCGGTTCTCTTCCATAAACTGGTAGTAAGCTGTAGGTATTGTGGGTTTTTTCCCTTCACCTTTTAAATTAGTAGATAGTGATTGAACAAAAATAGCAGGCTTTATTATACCACTTTATACATGCATATAATCTACTTAGACTACACCCACTCTCAATCATTCTGTCTTGGCTACTCCACAGTCTGAAAGATCCCCCTCCTCTTCCCAAAGTCTTCTCTACCTTCATGCCTTTTTAAATTTTGACTCGTGTAATAAAATCATATTTGTATTTCTTAGCCCAACTTATTCTGTTTAACATGATGATCTCATTGTTCTGCAAATAGCATAAATTTCTTCCTCTTTAAGACTGAGTGTGTGTGTGTGTGTATGTGTGTGTGTGTGTGTAAAACTCACACTTTCTTGATCTACCTAGGTTGACACTGGAACTTGGGTGTTACGGATGACATCACACAGACTGATTATTAACCTCCAATATATCTTTGCATGTTATTGTACCACCTTCTGTTCAGAAGTGAGGAGTAGAAAGAGAAAGATTCAAAATCAAACGGTGGAAGCTCACTTTGTTTTTTCCTTCAATTATGGCATATTGGTTTTTGGTGACTTCAATCTTATTTCCCCCCTGGAAATCCTCCACGTGTCTCCATTCTTTACAAGTAAATGGGGTTGTTTGCCTGTGAGAGGGAGAAAGCACAGCATGTCAAGATTTGACTCCTTGCTCGTTCAGTAGTACTGGAAAGGGTCAGCCTATGGTTATCACGTTCTCAGTGATAACTCTCGACACAGGCGAACACTTCGCCGAACTCGGCGCCAAATAAAAATAGATGCCAACAGCAGTCCAAAGGTCCAAGGTAGCTGCCCGAGGATACAGGAGGGAAGCAGCTATTCTGGGAACATGTCTCCATTCATAAATTGGATCGACAAGACAATTCAAGCTCACTTAGTTCAAAGGAAGGTAAGGAAACTTGGAAGCCACTGGGGCTTCTTAAAGTCATCTCTCTGGGAGCGACTGTGGCTTTTGTTTAGGAAATGGCCAGCAGCTGAGGAAGAAACTAGGGTTTGCTATTTCGAAAACAACAACAGGAAGTGGAATGCTTGGGGTGGTAGGTTGAAGGTGGTGGCTTGTTGTTTTCCCTAAGGATGTCTGCACTTGTGGTAGACCTTGATAAGCTGGGCCTGAGACTCTTGAGGCCCGGGCTAGGTTTATCATTGCCTCCCATCCACCAGCACTTCCTCTGAGAGCTGGACCTCCCCACAGATAAGGAGGAGCAGTGTGGTCTTCTCCCGTCCACAGACAGAAGATGATCCAAAGATTGGCAACTAGCAAACACAGCAAATAGTATCCATTTGGAGAGGTTAGCCATCAAGGCTAACTAAGAAGAAAGAGCTGACTCACATAGTGGAATGTGGGAGGTGAGTCCGGTACTATTGAGAGGGTATCTTCCTTGGAGATAGCCTTGCAGGTTTAGATGGAACCATGGCATAGCTTGGCAAGAAGGAACTCATGATGGCAAGTGAAACAGAGCACACAGCCCCACTCACCAGGGCCTGTAGGAGCAGGCTTCTTCTAGCTGCCAGTACCATTGGATGTGGTGCAGGGGAGGGTTGGCATAGACTGTGCACGTCAGAGTCTGCATGGTGCCATACTGGTAGGAATCCACAGGAGAGATCAAGGCTTTCTCACCGATCTGGGGTGGGACTGGAGATAGAAAAGACAACCTGTGAACTTCCCAATTGCTTTGAGGAACAAAGAGGGAATTTTAGCAACCAGATCTGCCTTATGTACTCAGATGATTTTGCCTCTGCTTGCTTTTCCAAAGGACATCCAAACTCGGAGACAGAAGACTTGAATTCTTATGCTCTCGTAACCATAAAACCCAAGAAGCTGAGTGACTTCAGGCCAGCTATACACTCCCAAGCCTCACTCTCTCAGCCTTACTTGAAAGATATTGTTCTCCATGTCCTACAGCCTAGCAAGAATGGCGTGAAAGGCTACAGAGAGAAAGCAGTTGGGATAATGCAGCAAAGACGTGTATTATCCACCAAGCCTTGCCAAGATGCTTCACACTGACGTTCAGTCCATATAGTCATGGACTCTCACTTTACACACGAGAAGAAATGGGGCAAATATTAAAAGATTTGCCCAAGGGCATCAGTTCATATGTAACAAGATCCTGGACAACAGAAGCTTAACTTGACTTTTGTATGCATTGTGCACAGCAGGGGAAATGCTAAGGTATATTGAATGTGGTGACCTGGTGAACTGGAGCAATGGGGTTGTTCCCTGTCTGCTTCTCTGTCTTTGCTGCCCAATTATTTTCTTCTTTCCATTATACTTAATGAGCTTCTGCCTTCCTCCCCTCTCTCGAATTCCCTTTATCCATGCTGCTTTTGAGCAACCTTCCCAGAACCTGTTATCTTTAAAAATACTCCCTAAAGAAAAAAAAGAAAGAAAGAAAGAAGCCAAGCCATCCTCAGAAGATGCACAGAGGAGGGTGGAGATGCGTGGGTAGTGCATTCTGGGACTGAGACAATCTCTTGACGGTTTAATGTGTGGGGCCAGTAAGAAGCACAAAGAATTACACCAGCAGCATTCCTCCAACTGTGTTTGCAGCAAAATGTTCATCTATTTACAGGGGGAGGAAAAGGGTTGTAGTCAAATAATCTAGTTAAATCCCTGATACTCTTGTCTCTTCTGTCGGGTCGGAGAAGGCAATAGTCATTAGCCTATGAAAATTCTAAGAAAGTCATGTAAGAAAGACACTCTAAGTCAACCTGGTACCTGCTACACTCACCTGACCATGACACCTTTCTACCCCGCACCCAAATACTTAATTATAGCATTCAGTTTGGGATAGTAAAGTTTAAATCACAGTTAAATCAAAAGCTTACACTCTTTCCTGGACAGACTCTAACTATGTCCTCTGACTGTGGACAGCAAGTTATCCAATGATGCTGGCCTCCACAGGTCTCCTGTGTGGAGTCCTGCCACACGCCTGCAGCAAAGCAGGTAAATCTCCAGACTAAAACATCACACAAAACACAAGGAGGGTCTCTCAAATCTTCATTCGAGGTATAGCTTCGAGGACAGGAACAGTTGGAGCTCATGAAACTTTGAGTGACTCCAGAGGCATTTGGCCAGGGGTTACCATCTCCAGGTGACCAACAACAGAAACTTCACGTGAGTATCAAGGAAGTATGGCCAGAGGATGCCAGACCACACCTCATTTCAAATCCACCTCCCTAGGTCATTTCTCATTTTTTTTTTTTTATGCATTGGCCCATTTAATGATGCAGATGACATAACAGGAGACAATGGAATGATGGGAGATGTGTGAAGATTCATTCTCTCTCTCTCTCTCTCTCTCTCTCTCTCTCTCTCTCTCTCTCTCCCTAGTAAACTTTTGGCAGAGGAGACACTAAATGGACTCACCATTCACAACCAGAGAGACCATGTGACTCTGCTTCTCCATTGAAATGGGGTTGGTGAGGATGACCGTGTAGTTTCCTGCATCTCTTTCACTCACTTCCATGATCGTGAGCTCGTCGCCGACGATCATGGTGTAGTTGGACTCAATGGGCCTTCCGTTTCGGTACCTAAGGGAGACAATCCCAGGAGGTATTGCAATAGAAGGATTTGGTCCCATGCAAACCAATGCTTTGCTTTTATTTCCAGTAGTTACCATTTGATATCAGGAGCTGGGTAACTGAGATACTTCACAGGGATTTGGACTTGGCTCCCCACTGTGGCTTCCACCAAAGATTTCATCCCGCTATCAAAAGCAATAAAAGGTTTTGCTAGAAGAAAATGAAAGCAATGGTTCTCAGAAATGCCAAGTTATTATAAATGCCCCTTTGGTTTGGGTTTTTTAATCAAGTGAACGGGTAGAGGTCGGGATACATGTGTGCACTGCCGTCCTGAGATTCCCCGTGCCATCTACAGCAGTCACCCTCCAGCTCCCTCCTAGCTTTTGTCAGCATTGTCTCCTCACTAGTGCTCTCTCATGAGCCTTGAGCATCCTATCTTCCACACAGCCTTCTCTACCACCACCAGCACCAAGGACCAGTGGCCATACCTTATTCTCTGCTCCCATGACACCCTCTACCCAACTCTGTGTGTCGATTGCCCTTACACTCCCTCCTCAGACCTTCTCTCTCTCTCCAAGTCCCTTCTTCCATCTAGTCTCAGATGGAAAGCAACAGTTCCAAATACAAGCTTTCAACCTATGCCTGACTTCCCTGGGTTCCGGGTTTACATATATCAGACATCTCCACCTGGATGTTTAATGGACATCACCAAAGAAACACATTCAATGCTGTTTTCTGCAGCCCATCCGGTCCTCTTTATTTAATGATGTCACTGTTCAGTTGCTTGTGTTAAAGCTCAAATCATCTCTTTTTTTTTTTTCACCGTCAGTGAATCAACCAGCATGCCTTGTTGATCACACCTCAGAATATATCCAAGATCTCGTCTCTTCTTACTCCCCCTCCCCCAACCACCCTGGTCCAAGTCTTCCTCCATCTCTCACTTGGATTTGAACTATCAACCTCCTAACTGTTCTCCCCTCTTCTGCCTTCACTTCCTTACAAGAGCTCGATGACAGATCACTTGCTTAGCGTGTGTAAGACTTTGACATCGCAAACATGTGAGCTGCAAGGTAATCCTACAGGAGCAAAAGCTGGAGCTCTACCATGCATAAATTATCTAAGCTGAGACATTTACAAGAATGCTAGGGTATCCCTGAAAATTTATTCACCTAAAACTACACAGAAAGCACTCAACCAGGGTTTCCCCATTTGAGAAGTTCATGCTTATTTAAATAAGTTCCTTAGCCTTCCTTATGGTAAACTGAAGTCTTTAAAAACACGCCCTCGTATTTATTAACACTCCACTTATATAACTATATATTATATAATGATAATGTCAGAAGCAGTTATAACAAATAGTACCTAATGAGCACTTACCATGTGTCATTTTAAAATTGAGATTTTTGAATTCAAGTCCCTGACCTCTAAAGGTATGCTGTTGATCTCTAGGTTTTGTGTCATTAACAACCCAAAAGTACCTTGTAAATGAACAAGTAACCCAAAGTGATGTTAGGCATCTCACTCCCTGAGGCACAGGGTATTATCAAGATGGTTGCTTACTATGAACTCGGACAAATGTTCTATTCCTCTTGGTCATCAGTCCACTGGATGCTGCACAGATATATTCCCCTTGTTCACTCTTGGTTACACTTTCTATTGTTAAGGTGCTCAAAAACAGCTTCGGGTCAGTCCCAGGAAGGGGTTTCATGTTTACAATCTTCTTATTCTGATGGTGAGAAGCAAAAACAGAGTTTAGTAAATCTCTTCACAGTCCAGCAGAATACTATCCAATAGCTCCTAGAGACCCACGGAATCAACCCCTGTCACCTGGTGAAGACGACTATTAATAATAGACTATAAACACCACATCAACAACAGTATATTGGGATTTGGGAGAAATGTGTGGAATTTGAAAAAGGTGGAGCTGAGGGAGGATATTGAAGTCTCCTTTACCTAACGAGAATGGGATGTGTGTGGAGCATGAAATCAAACAAAACTGGTTAAAGAGAAATCTAACCCAGGTCACAAAGGGACAAACAGATCAAGGGCTTAAGAGAACAGAGAGGTAATGTCAAAAGATTAAGACACTAGTGGGGACCAAAATGCACAGGTCGACTGCAGCAGGGTGGGTTGGGTCTCCCAGCATAACACCTTCTCATGGTTGCTATGCAGCCTGTCATAGTCCTATATAAAAGTGTGTGTGTGTGCGTGTGTGTGTGTGTGTTTTGTAGGTATAGGTGTCTGTGTATGTTTGTAGGTGTAAATGTGTGTGTGTGTGTTTTATTGTCTTTATAATTTATCTGACCAGAGAGGATCCAGTATCTCTTAAGAAGACTTCATTAGGGCTTATTATCAGAGTATTCAGAGGTCTGGCTTCGTGCTGTCACTGTTACCTTCGATGGGACATGCCAGTTGAAATCAAGCCCCACATTGAGTTCAGTTCTTGCTGTACAATTTAAGACAAGCTTTTCTCCGGCAGATAGCTCGATTTCATGAGAGGGGCTCAGAATCACATCATAAATCCTAAATCCTGGAGCAAGTAAATGATAAAAACAGACAGTAAGATGGAAAAGAAATCTCGGACTTGGCACACATCTTTTAAGTGGTGCAAAGCATGTGACATCATTTTCCTCGGGGAACCTCACTGCTTCTTGATGGCTTTAGAAAAGCAGTGTATAGTGATTTACAAATCACTATCTTCAGCATTTCAAAGAAGTTGCAATAACCCAATGAATATTAAAATCTAGATACAATTAAAAGAACTGGTGCCAGGCAGTGCTCTGAATATTGAACTTTCATAAAATGAGCTCCTGTCGTGGTATTTTTTCCATTCTTGGTCTTGACAAGAAAGAAGAAATCTCAGTTGCAATAGTTTGCCTGGTAAAGAAGAGTATCTGGAAAGAGTTAACCATATTCTGAGCTAATATTTTTTTCCATATCCCTTGCCTTTCCCTCTACACCTTGCTATCCAGGGTACTCATGTAGAAAGCCACTCTTTATTGTATGGTATTCCAATACAATAAAGTGGAAAGGACATCTCCACTTACCTACAACCATAACTATGTACATGATAGACTGGTACGTTTCATCATTAATCTTTGCCTCACAGAAGGCCATGGCGGCAGGGCTGATCATGTTACTGGGGATAGTGAAGCCTTTCTCGCTGTCCCAGGAAATTCTGTTTCCATCCGGAACAAATCTCCTATCTGGATACTTCTGATTAACAAAAAGAGAGACAACAAATATTTAACCCAACACTGTCCAAATTCAATGGCCAATGAAGGACCCATCTTACTTCTTACTTGAAGAACTTTTATTGTGCTGTTGGCCCTCCCTAAGGGATCTTTGCAATCAGCTCTTGACATGGTATTGGAAATGAAAAGCTCATCTCCAGAAAGGCTTACAGCTATGGAAACGTATGTGGTGACTGCAAAAGACGCAACTCACAGTGCAAAGTGACACGTTGAGGTTTGAAACCGACCCTCGGCACGGGATCACCACACTTTTGTTCTTGTTCTCGGTGATGTACACGAAGCCATGCTGGTCACTGACAGAGGTGATGAATGGTGACCTGTAATCTAGAAGAAAAGGGAGTTCTCCCAGTGAATTATTAGCAAGAGAGTTAGTCTTTGGGTCCATGAACTCTGACGGAGAAAGAGAGAGAGAGAGGCAGAGAGACAGAGACAGAGATGCAAACAGAGATGCAGACAGAGATACAGACAGAGAGACACAGAGACAGAAAAAAGTGAAGGAAAACTTCAACAAATAACTTCTTCCACATGGAATATTAACAAGTCGAATCCATTTTAATAGTCCATGCTTTAATAAATTATTTTTTATATAAAATAAAAAATTTCATTTAAATCCATACACTTAAACTCTGAGTTTTATGATGCTAAAAGTTCATGTTTTTCCATTAGGCAAATAGTGTAAATGACTAAAAAGAAATTAGGATCTTTAAACTAAGAAAAATAACAATCAGATGATTCAGTAATTCAGAAGAACGATTTTTATAATATCTTAAGTCTGTGAGAACTGTAGGTAAGAGTCTTTATAAAAAGTAACGTTTCATAGCCACTACATTTAGTTAAAGATTTAGCACGTATGAAAATCTGTGGCAATGAGTACTAGGAAAAACAGAACTCCAAAGATTGAGATGAAAGCCAGATCGATTTCAATATCTTTCAGACACCATTCACACAGTATTAATACAAGGCTGGGGATTTACTTCATCCCCTAGAGACAGAACACAGGGTCTGGAGCCACTACTTGAGATAACACCTTCCCTCCTACCTCCCACACATCTGGTCAAACCTTTTCAGAGGTGAAGAAAGAGTTAATGAAACCAAAGGGAAGAAGAGTAACTAATTCCTTTCAACAGCAAAAACCTGATTTCCTCCCCAGCTGGAAAGCATAGGATGCAGCTAGCTTCGCTCCCCACATGCCATCACCATTATCCTGCACGGCCAAGGCCCACTTCCTGGCTCCATCCACTGCTAAATGGGACAGAAGGCTGAGGAAGTAAGAGGGGACATTAAAGACCTATCCATAGGGAATACTACATTCAATGCTTTCTTTCCTGTTGTTAAATTTCATGAGCAAACTCTTGAATAGCTCACCTCAGAAAGCTAAGCAGAGGCAGGAGGAGAATTTTATGGTATACCCAAAGGCACCAAGTATATACAAGCAAACAGTGCTAGAGACCAGTGCTTGGTGCCCCTGCCTACTATCCATGGACATGTTAATGGAAGATTACATGGCTTGCTTCATTCAAAGCCTTGGGAAGCTAAATTAACCTCTTGACTTAAGACTAAAGCTATGCTGGAAGCTATTTCAGTAGCCCTAAAGGGGAAGTAAACAAAAGAATACCAAACAACCACGCATCCTCCCAAAATAAAACATTTATTGTAACCCATGAGATGACTTTTCTCATGTCTCCAGGTTTCCTGACTCGGGGAGAAGGAAGTATTAAGATATTGTAGGAGAAGCTCATCTTGAAGCATTTCCAGACAGGCTGAGAGCAGGAAATCCTTGCAATCTTCGGAGAGAGCCCCGTCTCCCAAGACTGCCAGATCAAAAGGAGCCAGGCATTCTCCAAGGTCTGAGCCTTGTCTCCCTCAGCCCTGCAGGGCGAGGAGAGGAGGCACAGAATTCTATCTTACGCTTTGCTTACACCGAGCAAAAAGAACACCCAGTCGCTGAGGAGCTCCAGAGCGTCATGGGCTATTTGGATATGGCCCCTGTTCTTCTGTACACTGACCCTACTGAAATGGAAGTGTAGATATGCAGGTATGGTGCCCTGAGAACTTTCCTGTCTGGTAAGAGTGGCTTTCAGGAAAAACAAAAAAACAAAACAAAAACCTTCAAAGCCATTTCCACTTGTCTCTAATCCCCTGAGATGTAAGGTTACATACAGATGAATAAATAAAATACTTTTACAGCTCCATCCTTCTCTGAAAGAAACATAACATTGTATGCTCATGTCAAATATCATGCAACTCAGGGCTGGAGAGATGGCCCAACAGATAGAAGCACTGGCTGCTCCTGCAGAGGACCTGGGTTCAGTGCCCAGCACCCATATGGTGGCTCATGATCATCTGTAACTCCAGGTCCAGGGGATCCAGTGCCCACTTCTGACCTTCACAGATAGCATGCATGCACACACCACACATAATACATGCAAAGCTCTCATTCACACACACAAAAAAAAGAATGACAAAGAAATCTTTACATGTAATACAACTTTTAGATTCCTGAGAAGCAGATGTTATTACAGGCAGTGAAGAGAGGTTTTTCACGAGAAAAGGTGACATGCAATTTTTAGAATGTAAAAGAGATTCTATTCATCCCCTAAATATGGAATACATGTTACACTATAGTTTTTAATATATGGATGCTAAGTTACAAACCTTGATTACATCACAAAACTAACCTTTTGATGTAGGACGAAAGCTAAGTTCCTTTGACATAAAACTAAAGGTGTCCTGTAAATCAATTCTAGATCACTAGCCCTTAAAGGGGAAGTCTATGAAGGAAGCCCAAACAGCTAGCCATAACCTCAAAGTAAAATATTCACTCTGTCCACAAAGACTGATCATATCTGTAAGGTTTCATCCCTCTGGGGTTGATGCCAAGCCCTCTCAGTTCACACAAGAAAAGACAAGACATGCTGTCTGGAGGGGTTCTTTTGAGTGTAGTGTTGTGCTTTGCACATGGGTATGTGAAATTTTTTTTAATAAAGTGATAATATGGAAAGGAAAGATCTTATGGGGGAGGGAGAAAAAAGGAGAAAAAAAAAACCAGCCTCTAGAGTCCTTGGCTATTTCCCTATGCATTCCTGCAAAAAACCTCCCTGCTATAGATAACCTATCTCACCACGGCAACCTCTCTATAATTCACCTCCAGTCCTCCTCGTTTTCAAAGATCCCAGAGTCTCGAAGAGCAGAAGACATTTTATGAGTCTCCATAGCTCGTGACGGGTCACAGGGAATCACAGAGCGCCGTAGAAAAAGAACCAGGGCTGACCTAACCAGAGCAAAGAAGTGCCGCTCCAAACAAAGCCCAGACTGCTGCTGAGTCCTTTCTCTAAGGAAACCTGGCAGAGAAGCTCTTATATTCCTTTGGGCAGACAGCTTTTCCAGCAAGCCTCTTATTGGACTCAACTCTTCTTGACTCTATTGGATTGACAACATCGGAGGCAGCCGTGGGGAGGACATTCTGGCCCACCACTTACCTTGAACGTAGACATAGACAGTAGAGGCTTTGTCAACGTCTCTATAGAAGCACTTGTAGGTGCCAGTGTCATTTCCAACCACTCTGGGAATTGTGAGAGTCTTGCAGAAGATACTGTCACCACCGCACTCAGTCACCAACACCCTTTCCTCAGAATCACGCTGAGCGTTGGGCCAAAGCCAATCCAGGTCCCTCTGTCCCCTGAAAAAGTTTTCCCAGGAGATATTAATGCCATACTCCATGCCATGAGGCTATGATTAAGAGAACAGAAGATTCGTGGTTTTTTTTTTCACATACATATAAACTACTCAACAGACACCTTCAGACTGATAGACACTGATGACAGACGGTCTTGCAAGGACTTGCCACAACGGTCACACCCTTTGTTACATAAATCACCCACATGGTCCTGTGTTTTCTGTTGGCTCACTCATTCATCCTTTTAATAAATATTTTAAGCAATATATGATGCCAAGCATTATTAAGGACAAAGAACAACTTTTAAGGGACCAAGGACACTATGCTCAGTGGTAGAGTAGTCGTCCAGTCTACACCAAGAAGAAAGAAAATTAGTGCCTTTCTGGAACCTAACTCTGATCAAAAGGGAGATAGACAATTAAAAAAGTACAAGTTGTTGCATAAATGGCGGTGATTTCATCCTGTGAAGGAAAATAGAAACGAGGCAAAGAAAAGGGAGGAATGTGTCTGAGGGACCTATGCACGTCGGGAGGAACAGCATTCCAAGCAGCAACAGTAAATAAGAAGGACAGACAGAGATCAGGGCGTATCTGGAGTATTGGAACAGAGAATCTAACAGCAGAGAATCCAGAGTCCTCATGTGGGTATAAGCAAGGAGGAATAAAAAGTTAGTACACAGAGAGAAGAGGCTCACGGTGCCTTCTGAGGGCCACATCAAATGGACATTACTTCTACAGCTTCCAGTCTCCACAAAGCAGAAGGAAGGGGGTCAGTACGAATAAAGCAATGACCCACTGAGCCATCATTCAAAGAGCTTAGAACTTGCATGAAGTCATAGTATCATCCGTGCCCCGCTCACTCCAGGGTGTGTTCAGAACTTAAGAAATGTTTCAGCAGTCTCCAGAGGGAGGGTGAAGCCTTTGTAGATCTTAAGTGACCCTTGTGTCTGAGAATAGGTAGAGGAAAGTCTCTAGAATGACTTAATAATGATAAACAGCTCTTGCTATAGCTTTCTGGTTTTGCTTTTCCCCAAAGACTGGACATTGGTGACTTTTGTAGACCTTAGATAAGAGGTCTGGGTTCTCTCCACATGCAACAATCTACACTAGACCTGAGTTGTTCTGTGGACTGCTTGAGATTCTTCAAATGTAAGGCAACTGGCACAAGCTACCAGGATTGTTTTTGTCACCAAGCACTCTTGTCAGATGGCACCATTGCCTGGGCCCATCACCATCCCTACCAAAGCACTGTTCTGCAGACAGCCCTTCATGAATGATCACACACCCAGCTACACCTCCTCTAGGCTTTCTTTCTTGCCTCTTGGTGGAAAAGTAAAATTCAAGGTCCCCTTCTTGCCAAAGAGCTCTGTTTCCCAGTTTATCCAGCATCAACACCATGACTTCTTGCTGGCAAGTGGGAAAGAGGACTGGAACATCAAGCCAGATTATGAAGGTCATGGTCTGAACAGGAATATTACTTGCTAGAGATTAAATTGCTAATACAGGCAGAATTTCATTTGTAGAAAACAGCTGAAAAAAAGATGCCCAAAAGCCATTCTGGGTGACTTGAACATAGCTAGAATTTTAACTCTATTCATAAGGATATCTCCTTTGCTTTACTAATTTATCAATAGTTGTTAATGTCTATTACATGCCAGTTTTTTGGCACATCTACACATACATGCATGTGTGTGCCTGTGCATGTTGTATTTGTGTAAAACATTTGCACGTGTTGAAAACAGTTCAGCAAAAGAGTACAAAAGTTTGAAAAGACTTTTCCCACTGTTTCATTATTAAATGAGTTCTTAGAAGTCTCGTGACTTATAAACAATTGTAACAATACTATTATACTTCTGCAGTAGTGGAAACTGTTGTGATCTCAGTAAACAGTAGGCCCGTTCACACAGGAAAGCTGGATCGAAGAGGAATCCTTACCTGCAAGTAATCTGAAGGGTTGTATTTGCCAAAATTGTCAGTATGTCTTTTTGTGTGCTGAGTTTGGGTGGATGGAGGGAATCACCAGGCAAACCTAGAAACAAATTAGATAAGGTTGGATCCAATAGGAAAGCCCTTCCATAAACAACGCACACTCCAAGTTTTAAAAGGCCTCTTCAGCAATTCATTGTATAAGGTGGGACTGACTTTGCCCCATTCCCAGTAAAAGTTCACAAGCTCTGTCATAACAGGAAGAATGGGCAGATGGTCACGAACCAACACAACAGTTCTGCAATTCACAGCACCAGGGTGGAGTTCCTGTTTTCCTGTGTTGCCAACTTCAAGGTCTTACAAAAGGATATGGGACATTGAAACCCGGTGAACCTCCCTCCATCTGATGGTCTCAGGCCCTTGGGAAAGGACCCACTGACATTTCTTGTAAAGCATAGGATACGCAGATCTGACTAGATTGCTGATTAATGAAAACTCCCTGGAGAGATCTTTCTACAGCTCATCTCCATAACCCTGAAAGGGACAGGAGCCACTGTGACCCTGTCCCATTGCCTTTTATCATACTGTGTACCAGACTTCCTTTGGTATTTGAGCTGCAAAGGCTAAGGTACTGGCTTCTAAAGACAGCACATTTAAATGGACGAAAAGGAATTGGGGAAGAGAAGCATCTCCCAGGTTCATGCATACATGCATATTCATAAACTTGGGGCAAAACTAAAAATAGTGTAAGTCTAATGAGCTATAGCTAGGGGTTCCCAACTCATTAATCAGAGTTCTGAGCTCACACCAATACAAAGCAGGAGACACAAGACACTTGCTACCTAACCGACTGAAATGCATAAAGGCATCACGAGAGATACGCACCACTGCAGGTCTACACAGCGAGATAACTCGGTTTCAGTCAACTCACCTATAACATGCTACCGACTGCTTAAAAAGCATGAGAAAAACAGAAGTTTCCCACTGTGTTAAAGGACATCAAGATCTTCCAGCCCTCCACTTAAAAAGTGAGCTGCCGAGTGTGATGGCACACACCTGGAAGCCCAGCATTCTGATGAGTGAGACACTGGGACGAAAGTTCGAGGCTAGCCTGGGCCACACAGTGGGACTCTGTCTCAGAAGGAAAGAATAACTAATTTATACCAGGCAGGCATCCAGGCACTCTGATTCACGCTAAGAACAGATGACTCCTAAGGCCTCAGCTGGCAATGACAGTGTGCGGCAAATAAGTGAGCGTGAATAAATATGAGGCCGTGTCAATAGAGTATGAGCAAACAGCCAAGGCAAATATCCAGAGCCGTGACACTGCGGCCCTATGAGAACAACCAGAGCAGTCCACCCACTGACTGTAGAGGATCTCACACACCTCCACGGATGTGCAAAACAGTCTACAGCCATACCACCCTGAATACACTCAACCTAATCAGATGTGCATCTGTTGCTGATATAACTATAGATTCATTAATTAATAACATATGTTTAAATGTTGGAAATTAAATGACATTAATGAATTTCACAAGCTAGTCGGCGTTGTCAATGACTTGTGTTTGAGCTGTGATTCTAAATTTCATGATGTGTCTCCTCCTAGACCAACAGATACGCATTTTCAATGGCATTTGAAGTGACTGGATCACAGGTGCTCTTGGTCCTCCCTGAGACATCTATAGAACTGGGTAGTCATCTTCAATTAATCAGCATAACGTTTGTCAATATGAGAGAAGTCACTGTTCCTAACACAGGCAAGCAATTAAAATGTTCATAAACAGGTCTTCCAATAATGGAATCTTACTTTGTCTGAGAAGCGGAAAATGAAAAACAACTTGTTTGATAAGTCTATTTTAAACATGACCGAGAAACAGTAACCTGAAAACAATCGCTGGATACGCTCATGTGATGAACCCATTAGACAGGCAGATGTGTGAGGAAGATGTAGTAGTAATTAGCCATCCGGTAAGCTGTGCCCACTTCACCACCACAGTAAATGACCCTTATTCCTCAGTGCCAGGAAGCAAACACAGAGCCTCACCGCTCTACCAGTGATCTTCATGCCTCTAAGAGCCTCTCGACCGTCTCTATAACAACACACAGCCACAGATTCTCTTAGAGTGCAGGCATGTTAGCTATGCTTATCTTTAAAAAGATGCCCCATTCCTAGGACACCAAAGACCGCAGCACAGTATCCTAGGGATATGTCTGCAATCAAATCTAGTCAACGAGGTTATCAATAACTGGAGATTTACATCAGTGACTAATGCCCCCCCCCCCAGCCCCGCTGCCTTTATTAAACCTCATTCATTTTCACTGGCAAGTTTGGGTTCTGTCCTCTAGAAAGCTCATTCTGACTGTATGAGGTACATATGCTACTATACAATAAAAGCCCTTTTATGTTCAAATCGGATAACCAACATTAATTAATTTGTGCACTGTTATCCTTCCCGCTCAAAGACCAGAAGGAAAAACAACAGCGGCTCTGTCTCCAGACTTCGATGGCACCAATTATAGACCAATCCAATTAAGCAAGTCACACACTCCAAAAGGGCAACCTCCATTTTATTCAGGGACCGGGATACTGTTAAACTGCTACACTAGGGACACTCCCCGGCTTCAAAGCAACTCACTTCTCTATGGGACCCAGGGCAAGCGCGGCATGTTCCAGGCTGTCTTTCTCTTCCCAGAAAGGGGGAGAGTGCAGCCTTGTCAGGAACAAGTGGACACCGGTTATGGAGCTTGCCTAATGAGCCAAGTCATGAGGAAAACTCAGTAACTGTAGACAGGCGATCTTGGTCCTGCACATCACCATGGTGCCAGTGCTTTTAAGGCGTGCAATTCTCTAAGGATGCACGGAATGTTTCTGCAGAATTGACTTTCTTTTCTGACTCTCTATTCTCCAATGGGTGGAGATTGGGAAATCTGCAAACTGTGGCTTCAAAAAGGAAATGAGAAGGAAATAGAGGAAGAAGAGAAGGAAGAAGGAAAGGGAAGGGAGGAGAAAGGAAAGAAAAGAAAGGAATTACACAAAAGCCCAAGAGCAAGTGTGCGCCTAACCTTGAAGCAGAGGCCATTTTTAAACAAGAAATGTGACCCTACCAAACACAAGAGTTTCTGAAACTTTCAGAAACTCTTTCGGAGTTTACCCCAGGGCCGAAGGCTTTGGAGTAGTAAGTGGAGAGTTACTTTAAGACACCTGGAGAAGCTGTCACAGAAGTGGAAGCCGCTTCTTCCTCCCGCCAGCAAAGTAGCATTCTGCACCAAAGAAAGTTGGGGGAGGAAAGTGTTGCTCTGTGAAGAGACCTCACCTCAAATAGTCCATGCGCTTACATGCTGGAGCTAAAGGAGAGGGGAGGCGGAGGCGGAGGCTGGTTCCCTGCTCCACTCCCGGGCAGGGGGCAACAACCCGGGATGCTTGATGCCAGCCAGGCCGCCCGGCTTGCTAGGCTTCCCGGCGTTTGACTGCCTGTTCTGCCAGTGGGAGCATCTCCTGCCCCGGCTCAGGCGCCTTTCCACTCCCGCCTACCTAGCGCCAGGGTCTGCGTCGGCTCCGCAAGACACACTCCAACCGAAGCCCGGGGGATTGGAATCCTGGCTGAGTTATTTCGCAAGAGTCTTTGAACCTCAGTTTCCCCATTGGTAAGTGAAAGAACAGCAAAGGGCGGTCTCTAGAGCTCTCCGAGTTAGGTCCTCTTCTCTCCCATCCCCACTCTCCGCCCGCACCCTACTTCTCCGCCTTACTTCTAAAGAGCGGGCTCCTTACCTACAGAGGCGGCTCGGGTCTCCACGCAGAACCACAGAGCGACAGCTAGCAGCAGCGCCTTGTTCTCCATCCTGCACTTCGCGCTGGACATAGAGCCCAGTTCTCAGGCACGGACTCTTTCCCGGTCCCTGGCCCAAAGAAGTCACAGAGGCGGTTTGCGCCCCCGCAGCGCAAGACCGGGGAGAGCGCAGGGCACCGGCGCCCTGGCTCCAGCCGCGGCTGCAGCAGTGTCCGCGGACACGGGTCAGCCAGGTTATCCCGGCTGCGGGACCCAATCTGGGCTTTCAGTCCTACCGGGTAGCGTTCTGCGCGAACTGAGGAAACACCGCCTACTTCTCTTGGGGTCCTGAGGACTCAAGCGCAGAGAGCGAGCGTTGGCTAAACACTAGAGAATGGGGGCGGGGTCAATACCGGGAGGGGTGGGGACTCCCTGGGTCCGGTCACGCCCCTCACTGGATACCAGGTTTGGGTTTCCCGGTTTCCCACGCCCACTCCCCCACTACCCCGGAACTGTGCCGGGCGGCAAGTCGCATCCGAGAGCAAATCTGGACGCAGCTCGGTTTCTGGTGGAAGTTAAATGTAGCCAGTAATGGGCTCTGAGACACTTGCTGCCCCCAGCAACCTGGGAAGCAGCACCAGAAACACAAGGCCCGCTGCGCCCTCATTAGGCACCTCCAAGTGCAGAACTCTCTGCTGCAGCTGACAGTCCCAAGGGACCAAAAATACGCCCGCAGGTGGGAGCATGAAGATAGGAACCCTGGACCTAGACGTATTTGGGGCACTAACTTGCAGTGAGTTGGTCAGTACTTGGAAGTTTTGTTTTATGGTGCTTTGGCCAGTGCAGCCATAGTTTTAACACCTCCCGCACCCCCCTGCTCCATTTGAATGTTTTAATTAGAAGATAGGCGCTTATCCAGGTTGCCAACTCCCCTACTGTTTTCTCATCTATCTGGAAACTTTAAATCATCTAAACTTACCTGCTAAGCCCTAGAAGACATCTCGGTTGTGAACTCCTTGCCTGACTCGGTCCAGAAAACCTATAGCAGGAGATTGCAGGGAGCTGGCAGTGATCAGGGCTCCAGGACACAGAGAAGAGCGCCTTCTTCAGTGGCTGCTAGAGTGCTTTTGTCCCCCACCTCACCCACCCCTACCCCCAGTTCCACGACCACAGTCCCCTACAGTAACTTCGGCCAGGTCAAAACTTTGGCCCTTTTCAGACCTGACCTTTCAGACAAGATACACTTCGGGGAAAGAGAAGGGAGCTTTTCTTGCCAGGGGCGTCACTGTAGGAGCAAAGGGGAGAAAGGTCCCCGTATGAACAGTTCTTTTTTCCAATTATGTAGACTTCAAATAGCAACTAGGGAGGAAGGACCACCTTCATCCCTAGTTTTCTTTCCATTCTTTCCACGCCTGGGGAATGACAACAAATATCTTGTAAGATCTTTTACTCCGGGCAAAAACCCAATGCATTTATCGTGATAGTTTAAAGGACAGTCTTTCAGCCAAAGAGATAAGATTATTGTCTCTGCATCCAATCTAAAATACACTGATGCGCACGATTAATGATGTGACATGACGCTTTTCTTTTTTAAAAAAAGGGAGATGAACAGAGATGCCCCTTCACCACGTGTGTGAGCCTGAAGTACGGTGCCCGAAGCAAGTGGCAAGTCCAGGAAGCTTTTTAAAATCCAGATTCACTATAAAAATATTTCATCACATGGCGAATCTATGTAGTGAAATTATGCTTGAAAAATATGGGACTGTTTGCTGTGGGCATCTTTTTAGTGAAGGCATGCACGGTTTATGTACATTTAGGTTTGTGTATATTGGGCTCCTCTTCTCGCCAATGAAAACTCCGTTAAGAAGGCTGTTTGACGTCTTCCTTCACTTGACAGTGTATCCATGGACAACACTCTGAAGGTTCTGCTTCTTTCTTTTATCGGTGTTCCACTGTATTGGTGTACTCTTATCTAAGAGGTATTTATTTGTGAACAGGGTAGAATACTTAAGGAAACTTCTCTTGCGGAGAGTAAAGCAAACTCAAACAAACCTCGACAACAGAACCAAGGAGGGCTGTCAGAATTGGGTAAATGGAGGGAAGATAGATCCTGGTTTGGGAAAGGTAGGTTTTCTCCATCCTGGTGGCCAAACAAGGCTTCACTAGAAGCCTTATTTACAATTCTGGACACTTCCCCTTCCATGTTTTACTTAAGAAGACAGTGTCTCCTCTAATACAAACCAGAACCTGCAGGCCCATGGTAATAGCCTCATTTAGAACTCTTAGAGGAAATGATACATCTTTGATGGCTATGGTACCCAAATTTAACAGCATCTCAGTGAAATCAGTCTCCTATACTCCCTCCCACACACATTGAGAAATACTTTGCATTTGTTTTTTTTTTTAAGACAAGATTTGTTTTAAAGAGGAAGAAGAAAAGGAAAAAAAAAACAGAAGGAAGATGAGGGAGATGGTTCAGCTTCTGAAGTTTCTGTGCAAGTGTGAAAACTTGAGATTGAGCTTCCAAACTCACATTTAAAAAGCCAGATGTGGTGCCAGCCTTGTTATCCCAGTGCTGGGGAAGGAGAGATACCAGGATCCCCGAGGCCCACCAGCCCAAGCCGAGAAGAATCAGCTAGTGACTCTCAGGCCAGTGAGAGGCACTGTCTCACAGCTGAAGCTCTTGAGAAATGATACTCAAATATACCTCTGGCAGGATGATCCACCTCCATCAAAATTGGACCTCCATGGAGCGTGAGTGGGCACACACGCACACAACATACACAACACATACACACACACACACACACACACACACACACACACACTCTGTTCAGTAGCATTCTCTATTTGGCACAGACAGATGAGCAGTAGGAACTGCCATAAGCAGTTCCCCAAAAGATCACACTTTATAAATTCCAGGAAGTGCTTGCTGCAAAGACAGGTGATAAAGAAGAAATCTTTGCTTGTTTTTCAAAAAAAAAAAAATTCACTTTCACTACCAAACTCTGGCACGCTACCCTTTTCTAGTGGCCGCTGTGGTTTTGGGTATTGCCACCTGTCAATCACATGCTTCCACGGCACTTCCCCGTGTGTGCTTCATTTAAGACGTTTGGACTCTATCACTGTCCAATTCTACCCATGTTACTTTACGGTGTGATGAATATTTTAACAACTTAATGACTTTCCATCCTTTACGTGAAACAGACGAAGTGGCTCTCATCCCTGGCTACCTGTAAGGGAAGAACCTCGGCACTAGGGATCTGTCTACCCACGTACCCATCGCCAGGCACTTTCTTATAGTTACTTGGAACTTTACAAAAACAAGATAAATTGAAATTTTAAAGTAGAGTTTGCCTGATGCCTCAGCATTAGAGATGCTTGCTGCAACTCCACAGGACCCAAGTTTGGTTCCCAGCACCCACACTGGGCAACTCACAGCCCATTCCTACGGCTCCAGAGAATCTGTTGCCTTGGTTTCCATGGAAACACCACACACACATGCTCACTGACATGCATAGATACACAAATACATAAAATAGAGTATTTTTCCTTTAATCAAATATATAAAAGATATTTAATATATTTAATTTAATTGAAAGTCCACATCGCACCAGAGACGGAGGGAGGCCAGAAACCATGAGTAGGTAATGTGTATGCACACAGATAAGTGAATGGGAAAGGTGGCTGCTGAGGTGGCTCAGCAGTTAGGAGAATGTGTCGCTCTTGAGAGGACCCAGGCTCAGTTCTCTGCACCCACAAGGTGATTCATGCCTCCAGTCCTAGGGGACCCAATGCTGATCTCTGCGGGCAGCAGGAACGTATATGATGCAATACGAATGTATAGGCAAAACACTCGTACACGTAAAATAAAAAACCTTAAAAATGCTTTCAGAAAAAAAATGGATAAAATAAGCAAATGTATAAAAGAAAAAAAATCAAAATATTAAAATTATATGTTCCAGGTACATCTTCTCCCACTGAGGCCAGATAAGACAGGGGGTACCTCCCCCTTCTCAAAAGTGAAGGGGAGAGGGGGAGGGGTAAGAGGCAGTTTGGGGGTTACTAAGAGGGAGTCTGCAATCTGGATATGAGGTAAATACATAAAAATAAGTAAATAAACAAATAAATGGAAAAATAAAACTATTTCCAACTTTTAAAAAGTTATATGTACTAGTCATGTAAAACGAACTTCATACACTCACTTTTAAATTCACATTTAAATAATAGTCATATATAATAGGTATAACCTATTACTATATTTATACATTATCATGTACTAAATTTATACATTATCTTAGACAATTTGATATAGAGTATTCGGTTAGTCGCAGAACCAGAGACTTACTTTCCCTTTTCTATCTGCTCAGCACTTGTGTGACAGGTGCTCAGGTAGCCGTAGGTAGGGCTAGGTAAATGCTTCTCTCAACAGCAGAGGTTAGGTCGGATTCATTCTGTATTCCTAGTGTGCAAAACCTCTTGATGAGTCAGACTGTACTTGTCCCCACTGCCATTTCTGCTGGGCTTCGTTTCTCCTGTGTCTCCTCCCACTCAAAATCCCATCTCTCCTGCCCACTCACCACAATTGCCTTTAATGACACCAACCTGTTGAAGTACGTAAAACTATCCAATGTCAACAAAAATACAGAGTCACTGTAATTAGTAATAAGGCGAGACTGACGGGTCTTTTTATTTTAAATGATAAAAAAGAGCATTATAAGATTTATATGACGTACATAAGAAATATGATTTGAATCTCATGCCTCTGCCATGTGCAGGTTGCAACTATTTTCCAATGCGTTACCTGTCTTCCTTCTTAAAGCTTATCCCGTCTTCAAAGGACTAAATCGTATACAAACATATCTTCTATATTCGAGAGTTATTCCAGTGTGCCCGCAGCATTCGTCTCGCCACCTAGCTGCTTTTGGAGTCCCACCTTCGTTGAGGCCTTATCCAGCCAGTGGCCTTCACTGTCTTGACTCTTTAGTTCCACCGTGAAGACAGGATTTGCCTGATACATCTTGCTTACCCCACCCCACCCCTTATAAGAAGATTATACATGCCTGTAGATTACTCACATGCTGTGATTTGAATGTGAAATGTTAGGCTCACGTATTTGAACACTTGGTCCTCAGGTGGTGACACTACTTAGGGACGCTGCGGACGCTTTAGGAGGCCGAGCATCACTGAAGAAAGTGGGTCGCTAGATTTGAGCC